ATACAAAAGACGCGTTCGAAGCGCTTCATACGTATCATGCTTCCAAGATGTCTGCAGCCAGTTTTTTTTTGTATGACCCACGTGACCGTCGTACAAACATGCCTCAGACGCGGTGTCTGGAGACTGTCGTTTGTATGATGTATCAGCGGTGCGACGCTGCAGCTTAACCTTCCGTGAGGGTTGTGCCGTTCCGTGTCGTCACACCCTGTTGGCGGATTTTAAAACAAGGCCGTGCAAACGTCGTCGCCGGTTCTCTTCCCATTTGTACGTGACGTCTGGCGGCCCTATACATGTCAGGGTCTGCATGTCCCGTTGTTACTGTTGCGAGACGGTGTTACTGTGTGCGCGCTTCCCTGGTTCGGTCGCTCTGCGTTCAACTTCCTGGTGTTGGCCTTCACTGTCCCTTCTCGCGGAAGCTACAGCCTCTCACGTCCGCGAGAAACGTGTGACGCAATGGATATGGTGCAGACCACACAGTCCAAGTATCGCTTCCAGAAGGAACGTTTGACTGGTCGTGTAGTACGTGTTTTATTTGGTCGACTAAATGTTCCACTGCTGGTCAACAGTTCATTGTGAAATACGGCGAATGACGAAAAGGAAAATGTCGTTCTCGAGCGAAAAATGTCACGTATGCTGGGACACTGCAGCACACCCGACGAATACCCGATCGTACGCTTTCGGGTTCAACACTTTCCGGGCCGCATCACTCGCTCGCTTGATCCTGTATATTGAAGTGTGATTGGTCGATCGCGTGATGTGTGGGAAAGTGAACGCGCGGGTAATAATTTGGAAACTGCTTAGGTCAAATACCCACTCAGGTCTCGTGATCTCACGTTCCGCGTGTGTCGCTCAGCCCAACCGGACAGTCACGAGACATGCTATCGGTGAACGGCGTTTGGCAACTTCCGGTTTGTTAGGAAATTTTGTTTAGCTGTTGATAAACGCTGACGATTATCTGCAATCATGGTTTCGAAGACTAGCCTGAAGGTTTCAGAACCATGCTTGCAAAGGCTTGCAGCTCATTGTCGTCGTTTCTCAAGAGTGTAACAAAATTTCCTAAGGAACCGGAAGTTGCTGAACGCGGCTCACCTACTGGCTCCGGAGGTTTGCAACGTCCGTTGCGGTACGGCTTTAATCGGCGCTCAGAGTGCTCGAGCGCCCGGGCGCCCATAGCTTGGACGGCATACAGAAAGCTGTCCGCGCACGGAGCATGCGCGTGAGGGCAGCTTTGGCAGGTGTGCGAATGCACGTGCTCGCTAACTCTAGAAGAAAGATGGCGGAGGTCAGGAGGTTTGTTCGCCCTTTTGGGCCTATTTCACAGATAACTCAGCGAACTAGCGCATGTGGTATACTGCGCGGGCAACCGCAAGTCCCACGAGATCGCGGACTGGCTTGCCGATTCTGTTAAGCCCTTCGTTCTAAAGGCCTTTGAAGTGCCTGTGAAACAGGTGTATGCCTCTCGGAATGCTCGGCAAGAGAAGTAGGGGCACGGTGCATTACTTTTTTAGTGCGAAGAAATCTCGCTAAGTTACCCAAGCACCGAGGAGAATGCTGGGAACCTGGGTATATACGCGCAACATTCCCTGGCCTTACCTGTATAAATAGATTTGAAGCAAATAGTAATAAAAAGAACTTTACGTTCACACGTGCGTAGTGCTATTTGTTTGACAATTTCGTTTTTCAACAGTTACCGTATTGTAGATGCCAGTATAGTACCTGGGGCCCTATGTTGCGCTTTTTGGACTCCCACGGCGGCTATGGAGAAGGAAGTGACGCCAACAACGCACCAAACGCAGAGTGGATGTCGATTGGTGAGAGTCGCTGATGACGAATTTCCGCAGAAGAAAACAAAGCTCACTTTTTCTTTGTTTTCTTCTGGGGAAATTCGTTATCAGCGGCTCTCACCAATCAACATCCACTCTGCGTTCGCTGCGTTGTTGACGTCACTTCCTTCTCCCTAGTCGCCGTGGGAGTCCAAAAAGCGCAACATAGAACCCCTGCTGCAGTGCGTGTAACTACACCATGCTCCTGGGTGTTTTGTATAATATGGCAAAAATTCACTAGACCCACCTCGCCAGCTGGTTTGGCTACACCACTACTGCCATGATGCCACCGGGGGAACGACGTCTTTCTGCACATGCGACAATGTCCCTGCAGCTCTGCGCGATGCAGAGCACGCGACGGCACGAGCCCTCTCGTCCACAGCCACAAGAGCCACTAAGCAAGCTGCGCTTAGAGTATCGGCACTCCGTTCCCCGACATTGTTGTGGGCGCCGCCATTTTGGCTCGTATGCAGAACAGACGCAACGGCCGATCGGCATGATTCAAAAGTGTGACTTCCTCAGCATTAGATTCGGTGTTAGGAAGGTCATGTAAAAATTGCTTTGCTCTGTCGCGAACGGTTTAAACGTTTGTGGAGGGTGGAAAAGCATTTCCTGTGATTTCAGATAAAGTTTCAGATAACTGGCCACCATGATTTTAAGACACAATATGGCCAAGTGCCGTTACTCTGAAGCGTAGCTTATTTAGTGGCACTAACTGCCACTTACCTCCAGATTTATGCTCGTTACTTGAAAAATGTAATTGATTACGTTTACAAAATTACCGAGCCTCAAATGTAATGGATTACCGTTACCAATTACTTTGGCTGAAAAGTACCGGATTACACTACTCGTTAAGTAATAAATTACTTTCACGTTACTTTTTCCGTACACTTGCCCAGAAAACGATAGGAATAATTTTGATATTTTTCAAGAATGTTCTGCAACCACTACTTTTCATTTCTCGTACGCCCGTATTATGGTAGTCCTTGTAAAAATAAAATATTGTATTTAAGAGAAAGAGTGTAGGTGCACTCCGTTCACCTGTAAGCTGACACAAGGCACCGAAAGCTGCAACCACATTTGCCATCCCGCTAGCTTACGGCCTCCGGAAATAATCCCTGGCATTGTGCAGACAAGGCTAGCGGTGCGCATGCTCAGTAGCAGCGTCTACCTCCGCTACGAGATTCGGAGCTAACGAAGCGATCTACGAAAGCTCCCTTTTGACTCGGGTGTTTTGCCCGTTATCCACAAGAAAGGAAAAACTTGTTTCTAGCGTTACAATGCATAGTCAATGCAGAATGCAGGTGTCCAAGCTTATTTTGACGTGTTTCCGTAGATTATAGTTCGTTGTTCTTGCTGACAACAATGTTTTTTTTTTTTTTTTTGGGGGGGGGGGGGGGAGGGGGGGGGGGGCAAGCAAAGTATGCACTCAAGTTCTGGGTTTCCGTTTTCCTTAATGCCATGAATTTTGAACATCTCATTAAGAAATGGCAGTAAATTTGAGAGGTAGGCTAGTTGGTACGTGTTTGACTTGTAAAGCGCCTAAAAACCAGGACACGAGGAAGACCTGTCAGAACCAAGCGCTAACTTACAACTGAACGTTTATTGAAAAGCACTTACTATTTGTACACAAATTCAGGCTCCCGACACAAAAAGAAAAGCTCTTCCCCAGTTAAGTGCACTGGCGGTGCACTCACGCAGCTACCCTCGCCCTTTACTCTAACGCAGTAGGCCTCAAAACTCTCTCTCAGTTTTGATGGTCGCGGAGACGACGGACACTCCATGACCAAAAACTCGACCACTCAGAGAAAAAGTGGCGGTTACGAGTTGTCGATCGTTCATCGGTTCTCACGTTCATACCTATATTCGTGGAGGCAAGGGAGGGAGGGCATAGAGAGCGAGACAAGCGGTGGCCATCGGTCTCACAAAACAATAGAGGATCACACCACTTTTACGCGTTCTCTCTCACTCTTTGTCAGCACTCCTTAAATGGCCTAACCCTCCCCCCCCCCCCCCTTTTTATGTCGAAAGTTGACTGTAAAGTGAGGAGTGGACTTGAGACCACCATGCCCAGACAAGTAAACCAAAAGAAGTATCGTCCGTACCCTTGAAGACGATGCTCTTAGCCTCGCGCCTGGCAGAATAAAGAGCGCACATCAAAGACGAAGAGAACTCGACCATCTCGCGCGAGGCTACACCGTCTGTTACGCGAGTTGTGGACCCGCGAATCGAGGGGTAAGGACCCGCGTTTGATGTCTGTGCAGGTGGCGGGAGACGTCGAAAAAATTGGAAAGGGAGAAACGGTGTAAACGACTAAAACAAATAAACACAAAGAGCTTTCTCGTGCCAGGGAGAAGAAAAATACAATGGAAGGCGACGGAGAGCCTACACGGCGTTGTCTTACTTGATCTTCGTTTTTTGAATATTTGCACATGCCATGCCCGTTTTTTCTAGTTTTTTTACTGACCGGTCGTACAAAAAATCGTGTTTAGGCTTTTCGGTTATTTTCCCCTTCCTGATGTTTTCTAGTTTGTTGAACTTGCTCTCTTAATGCTGCTGAATGTTGTGCTCGTATTGCTCCAGTTACTTTATTATGCTCGTATTAAAAAAAAAGAGTAATTACAGTAATCTGTTACCAATATTTTGTAACTAAATTACATTACAAATTACTTCCGAAAAAAAGTAACGTGGCGATTACAAAATTACACGAAAAAGTAACGGATTACTTCCCAAGTCTGCCTACCTCGGACCAGGGGCGGACGGGGAAGGCGGGAGGAGGCGACCGCTTTGCACCGACCCCATAAAGGCCGGTTCTCACATGCAGCGAAGCGCTGATGTAGCGCTGCTCACTTATCGTCTGCCATGAGCAACAGTTTCTGACGGTGTGATACAAAGCTGGGGAACGCTCCCGTCTGCTCTCGCTTAGCGCGAGGGCAGTGCTACGCTTGCGGCGCTCCGCTGCATGTGTGAACAGGCCTTAATCGTCTCCAGGTCAATTTTTTTAAATCTAAAAAACGACATGCACCAACTTTTTTGCGATGAATAAATGTTTAGTTTTATTTGAAATGGAAAATATTAGGTAAACAAAAGAGATTTGAACAACGCTTCGTCCGTGACGTCAAATCTCTCTGCGCGGAACGCTTAGTGAGATCGGTTCTTTGGCTTTCCTGCGTCCAGGGTCGTGGGAACCCGGCAGCGAGGCTCCCCTGACCTCGGACAGCGAGGATCCTCGGGGCGTGCGTCGGAATCGAACCACGTTCACGGCGCAGCAGCTGCGTGCCCTGGAGCGTGCCTTCGAGCGAACCCACTACCCGGACGCCTTCGCCAGGGAAGAGCTGGCGCTCAGGGTACGACTCAGCGAGGCCAGGGTCCAGGTGAGGAGAGTCACCGTTGTTTAACGTGTACTATAAATGCCGCATCAATGAGTTCCTTTTTTTTTTTTTTACGGCACATATTGGTATTGGCCCATATCCGCGGGCCGACGCTTTCAACGTGCCCGTGGTGTTGCTTTTGCTGGCAACATTACTGTTTGCAGTCAATTACTGTTATTTGCCGCCTGGGTGGTTTTCATAGTACGTTGCCGTCAACTCTGCTCGGTTTACTGTTACGCGACACGTCTTACCTCGACCAACGACCGCGAAAGGGTCACGGTCGTCTGCTGCATCCGAAAGAGTGGAATATTCGAATAGGCCAATTGGAACCTGGATTTGCCCTATGGCTTTACACCGTGAGGACCGACATTGTGGACGCAACGTGGGGTTTATATCAGTGAAAGAACACTTGTCGGCAAGGAAGAGAATATTGTTTTCTTTTCTTGCTGTCAGACTTTCTTTCACTAAAATAGATGATACAGGCGCTCACGAGGTCCTTTCTTGTTTTGACAATATTTGGCTTCGATGGACGTCGATCGGCTCAGAAAAATTTCGTCTTCCTCAATTATTCTTTGATCCAGGTACCGTTCTGTTCTCAAACTCTCGCGTGCATATCCCAAGCGTCAGAGTTACATTCTCAAGGATTTTCACCTTCATAGTTTATTTACTCGGCCAGAAAAACACGCGGTTCTCTTTTTCGGGGAACGCACTGTACTTCGAATCTTCTGTAAGGTGTAAAAAAAAAAAAAAAAAAACTAGTAAAAAAGAAAAAAAAAAAAAAAGAAAGAAAAAAAGAAACATTTGCGCTTTTTATACACGGCCAAGATACACGGTGTTGTTGCTTCCGAACAACAAATACATACAAATACTTAGGTGCGATATTTTCTGGAGACGGTTTATGGTCAGCGTAAGTAAACAGTGTAATTCGGAAGGTAAGCAGGTCTCTTAGTATTTTGCAGTGTAATCTCAAGCATGTTAGTTGCGAGGTTAAATAAGCCGCCTATCAAGCATACGTTAGGCCGATTCTAGAATATGCTTGCCTTGTGTGGGATCCGGTTTGCCGTGTTTTAGTCAATGCACTTGAGAGCATTCAATCTGTCGTTGCTCGATCTGCAGTGGGGAGATACGATCGCTTTTTAAGCACAACAGAAAGGAAACAAGACTTGGGCTGGATTTCCTTATGAGGAGCGCCGTTGACGCCTCCGAACGAAGCTTTTTTTTTATTTTATCTATTATAAACGAACAGGAATTTCTGCCTCATCATACTTACAACAGACAAATTATAGTACAGAACAGTGTCCGAAATCCAGCGATAAAAATGGGAAATAATAATCTGAAAACCAGGTTTCCGGGAGCGGCGTATAAAACAAGAGTTTTGCTTTTTGCAGCACTGTTGGCATCGATGTTGTCCTTGGAGCTTCGTGACTGTGCATTTTTGACGTTCTTGCATTATGATGTGTGCGAAGGTTTCTAAAAAAAAAAAAAAAAGGAGTCTTGCAAAAAGCACAGCCCCCCTACTGTGCCATGGGCTCAGCATAAAGAGACATTGCGGCTCCCTAGGAGCAGAGCGGACACTAAATAAGCGTAGCTTATTTAATAACACTAGTCTATACCACCGCGAACAGGTCATTATTGTAAAGTTCGACCGTATGCCGCCAAGCCAAATCTTTTTAAACGCTCATTTTTTGTGTGTGTCTGCGCGTATTATATTACAGAGGAATTCGTTACCAGCAGAAGTGCCGCGAGAACGCTGATTTATTTTATAGTGCCCCCTTCGCAGCAATGCCCAAAAGGCGCTGCGGGTTTTTCCCGAATAAATAATAAATAATTAAAGAACTAAAGGCACGTAAGCCCGATTCACATGGTGCGATTTTGCTCGTGAATTCGCAGCTGCGTCGTCCGGCAGCTCAGCTTCTTCCCCCGGGCTTTCCTTCTTTTGCCGCACGAGCGACGTCGCAACTGCGAAATCGCAAGTAAAATCGCATCGTGTGAATGAGGCTTTAAACCCCAAGGATATACGAGCGATAGTATTCCACCGAACGTAAATCGTTTCTAGAACGCTTCGCGCATCAACGCGCAGGCCAAGCCGCAGGCGCTTTATTGGGGTTACTTTCCACGAGGGAGGAGAGGAGGCGACATAGATTTTATGTTTTTACGTTTTCTATACTAACTTCGAGTAGTTTCTGTTTTTATCTTTCTCAACCACGACGAAAGCACTCAGCGGAAGAAGAGAGCGCCGATGTGTTATCTCCATCGGGGACGCGTCGCCGCCTTCGACACTCGAGGAAAAGTTTCGTCGCGCAAGCGTGCGAAGAAGCCAAGCAGGCGCGACGCCGGAGCTGCCCCCCCCCCCCCCCCCCCCCCCCCCCCCCCATTTTAGGAGACTCGCGGGGTTCGGAGAGCGGGACGGGTGCTGGGTTGAACCAATTCTACATAGAAGGCAAGGCCTGTGTATGGCGTCATCGTTAGTGGACTCCCGACTCGCCCCAAGCGGCCAACACGGCAAAGCTCGACGAGAACCCGCGTCCGTTTTGGCGTCGATGCCGACGCGAGCTAGACGGCTCTGAGTGGATCCACGAGTGATGACGTTTGGAGGGGAAAGGCGCGAGCCTCGTCTTCTAGATTGAAAACCCCCCCGGTTAAGGGGCAGGCGCCGGGGGAGTCAATCGAGGGTGCCGCGGGCGGCGACCCGAAGTCGAGACGGTCCCCAGCCGGGCTGCTGATAAGGCGGAGTCCCCCTCTCGGGCGGAAAGAAAAGAGATGTCTTCGCGGGGACGTCCGACCCAAAAGGCCCAGGAAACTTTTCACGGTGTGTTTTCCCTTGGGACGTCCTGCTCGCGCTGCTCGAATCTCGGAAGCCGCGCGGGGAGTCATTTTCGTGGAAGTTGCGAGTAGCGTAATCGTCGAAGCATCTCAGTAGACGGCTCTTCCAACGTCTGCGCCCACTGATGCACTGCCTATGCAACAAGCAACAGTAGTACAATGCGACAACTACAGTCGAGTGGTGCGAGCTTGTCACTTCGGCACGCGAGGAAAAGCACACGCCAAAGGCAGCAACAAAAGCGTTGCTGTGGTAGGCAGTTCACGATTGGTCAAGCGCTCACTACGAAGTCTTTAGTGGGATTAATTCTGCTTTCATCGACGTTTGAGACAGATAATCCTGGTTTTTACTTCGAGGGTCGAAATAATAAGAGGGCGCGCTCCACCAAAATATCTCTTCGCCAATAAAATAACCACTGTCAAGACCTTTTTTTTTTTTTTTTTGCTACGTACATGGCATTTTTGCACGGTCCATACCAGCTTCATTATATCTTGATTTGTCACAAGATTCAAAGACGGAGACATCAACTCCGCGATCAAACCTTGGACCACCGCTTGTGTAAGTGACTGGCGGTCCGTAGAAGCATGGCGGTCTGTTCGCGCTCATGCTGTCCGCGATAGCACATTGCGGAAGCGTTGCCTTGCCGTCAGCATGCGCTCAAGCAGGGCTAGAGAGTATCGCGATGCAAATATATCGCGATAGTAGTTTAAAGACACTTTCGATTATCTATATCGAGATTCTTTTGAAAAAATATATTTGTATGTCGATAGTGAAAATCATTTGCGATGTATTGCTTGTGTCGCGATACTCTGCCAGACATAAGGATGTCGTTACATTTGTTGTCCAAACTTAACTGTCCGTTCTCTATGATATACTGAACACCTTTTTGGCGCAAGAGGTCCCAGAATTTGTCATACGAACCCGCCGCGCAGTCATATCTATAGGGGGACGTCTAATTTTCTGGTCACCCAAAACTTAAAACAAAGAAAAAAAAAAGTCAAATTAAAAACGAAGGTGGTTCGAAGAACGGTCACTTGCAAGAATAGCAGGATTAAATTCCTCTCAAAATCCAGTTTTGCCGTAAAGGTGTGTCTCAAATTGAGACACCTTCTTGTCAAAACAGGGTTCAATTTGGGCAGACACCTTTTCTCAAGCATGGCAAATCGTCGTTGGTTTCCAGTTTACAGTACCTATGTGGGGTCACTGGGGGCGACGATGTCAGTGTGTTTTTTTAACAACATTTGGGATGGTAGTTGTGTATAGATGAAACGTTTGAGGTAAAGAGTGGTGCATGAACTGGCATAAGCTTGAGGAATACAAGCCCTGCCAATTGCATTCGCCACGAGCTGCACCTTCGCGCCTACCATCGTTCAAAAAAAGAATGCATTTGTGTATCTGTATCTACATTCTGGAATACTTTTTATTGCGTTTTTGCGGAAGTATCTCAGGGATATACCGTTACATAAAAGGCAAATGTAGCTCAATATCTGTATCTCGGCTTTAAAATACATGTAACTAAGTATTTGTATTCCGAAATACTTTTTGGAGTATCTCAGCCCAGCCCAGCGCTCTGCAAACTCGGATGTGGTCAACATTATATATACCACATATATTTCTCTTCTTCAGCACGTTCCACTCTTCCTATTACCGGGGCACTGCGGATGGTGGCACCATGCCGTCGCATACGAAAACAAAAAATAGCCGGTGACAACGAAGCATATCAATTAGCATCCCCACAGAAAAAAAAAAAAAACTTAGCGTGTACGTTATGAGTGTTATAAAAAATAAAGAAATGCCTGAAAAAGTATGGCCAATCCTTCTCTTCAGCATCTCTTACGTATAGACATAGGTCCGTTTGCTTAAAGTTCAACACTTCATTCCGTTTTGTGTGCCGTCGCACTTATCGCCATCACGCTAAAAGTCTTTATTGTCCCTTTTCGGTTACCTTCTGTTTCTATTAAAAACTGATCAAGTGCATCAGGCTCCCAAAGATCTAGTTTGCGTAATTGGATGCTGAGGACAACGTTACTCGTCATATCTCCAAGCGCATCTATCGGGAACTGAGCTGGCCATAACACATATCTATTATAGTTTTGGAGAAGAAAAAAAATTAAAAAAAAAGCTTTTCATCTGAAAGCTATAGGTTGGGAAGTCATCGTTCGTCACTTTCGAATAACAAATGCAATGCTTAGTGAATTAATCCTAAACACAACAAAGAAATGGATCACTGCGATCCACTGCAGACACGCACGTACCTCACAACGCCCGGGCCGTCCAGCGGCAACCTTGGGTTTTCCTGTCTCCGTTAGAAAACACTTGTTTTTCTTGCTCCTGAATATATATGCACTTGATCAAGACGGACGCCCTCGTCAGATGGCCCCCTTCGTTGCCGGAACTGCAAATAAGGAAACGACGTACAACAGTATTATGGCTTACCGCTGTCGGACTTCCTTGTCGGATCTTTGTTTTCTTGAGCGATCAATATTTACGGCGCATTTTCGTCCTCCAGAGTGTCAGGCTCAGTGGCCTTCGCGTCGTTCGCTTAGCTTCTCGGAGACGAATGATCACGTCAGCTAGCTGTATGCAAATGAGCCGTCTTTGTGCGACTTTTGTTGAGTTTTCCCCCGTAAAGCTATTCACACGGAACCGAACAGCGCACCGCACAACTGACAGGTTGCACTCGCCATTAATTTTTTTTAGTTTTTGCCGTAATTTTTTTAAAGAGGACTCGGCATTATATGTCTGAGTTTATCGGTGTCTAATTCTACATGGGAGCGAGTCCAGAATTTACACCTAACCTTGTACGTAAACAAACACATCTGCTTGCACACTACAGCAAGCGAACATGTGCACTATTATAAGTACATGGAAGGTTCCTTCGATAGCTGTGCCATTATTTTACAGCAAAAAAAATAATAACAAAAAAGTTTTTTTGTTTTTTTTACTGCTTGTAATGTATGATACAAGAATGACGTGCTTCGGGATGCCAGACATGAAACAATAACGAATACTAAACCTTAGATTGATTGAATTGTGGAGTGGCCCGGGGATAAATTCAATTCGTCTAACTTTCCGAAGAGTACGCAGACAGCAATGGTTAGCGCTAACTCTGAAAGCATGGAGGGAGCTGGGCGAAGGACGGAACCGAGAAAACGCACCGACCTGCAACGTAAGACATGCATGTAAAACGTCACGAGTCACATCTCAAACTTAAATGTTTTTCGGTGAATATGTTTCCCCAATCTCGTCATTTGTAAATCATTCCGAGCACCATGCGGGAGAGTGAACAGTTTTCAAAGTGTAATCGTAGCGTAATTTTTATTCTTATTCTTTTTAGTAACACGTTCATTTTATTTCGGCAGAGCAGGTGGCAGCGAATCGAGGTACCGAAGGAGAGCAGCGCATCGGAAGCCAAAGATAACATTTGGATGAATGAGATTTGGGCAAACAAAACACGCGTGGTGAACGGAGATTTCGAGCACGTGTAAACGACATGCTCGGTAATCCTGCGGAACTTGCCGTATCTGAACACAAATACGAATAAAATATTATCCAAAGAGAACCTCCCAGGTATTTTCGACAAAAAGATGCGGAGCACGCACACAATCAATTCCTAAAAATGTATAATTTATTTATATTTTTTATAGTAAGCGGGTTTCTCTTGTCGGTGAGCCAAGTAACCGAAAACGGTATTATCTAGCTGTCAATTTAGAACGCTACGCTTTATCTCAGTCAACGAAAATGTTATCTAGCTGTTAAATTACAGCGTTACGATTTAACGCTGCTCTTGAAAATATCCACCATGTCTGGCATGCACTTGCAAATCTAGTTCGTGTGACGAAATATCCGCCGCAGTGCTGCGAGTACGCGCATAATATTTACGCATGCGCATAATGTTTGATGCGCGCACACGATAGCTATCTATAGTCACCGACAACTTAACAAACCCAGGGTGTGGCTTAATATGTTCACGCTTCTCCCGTTCGTGATTGGTTTTTGGGCGTTCTTAGCGGTAAATGCCGCGCTCTCATTGGCTGCGGGGGGATCATGAGATGCTCGACACGCCCGGCGTTTCTCAATCTGTCAGTGACGTATAGTTTACAGGATAAAGCACCTCCTGAATCATCGAACAACACATCTTCTAAGCTCCTCGCGAAATGCAGTACCGTATTTATTCGAGTAATAGCCGCACTGTTTATGAAGACAACCCGAGTGTTCGCTTTTCCGCGGAACATGCGGCTTGCCAATCACCGCGATCGACAGCATGATTCCAGCGGTTTACAGGACAGAGATGATATCTTCGCGCGAAGATACCATCTATGAAGAATGCATTTGTATGGAGAATCGTGTTCTCTGTTTGGTTATTCGCTATGTTATTTTTGCGCAATGGGATGATTGGCTAGGTATGTGCTCTGCGGTAAAGCAGACGCAAGGGCCTTGTTCATAAACAGTGCGGCTATTACTCGAGTAAATACGGTAATTATTCCAAGTTTTTTTTTTTAAATTTTATACCTTAGGTACAGTTTCTAGTAGCTTGCAACTAAATTGCAAGCTACTTTCCTGCTGGTACTAATTTCTCGTACTACCAGCAAAATGAGAGAAAAAAAAGGGGGGGGGGGGGGGCTCACATAATGTGCGACCAACGACGATCCGGTGCCTCGTCTCGATGGTATTTGAAGTGGCGTTTCTGCAGCCGAAGGCCTTTGTGTCAAGCTGCAAATCAGTTCACGAGATTCAAACTCTGCGCATGCCACTCGGCGTGCATGCGCTCCAGGTTGGCCGATCCTACGAAGGCCTTCCGCACAAAATGTCACTCGAAGCGCCGGTGACCAAACGAGACGTTGTCCCTTGGACGGCCATTCTGGTGTTTCCCGGAGGTCCAGCTTCGAGGTTAACAAGCCGCGCAGTGGTACTGCTCGTTTACATCGTGCAAAAGACACGGTGTTTGTTCTGTAGACATGGTCACAGAGTTTTCTACGGAGACGCTTTAAAGGAATACTACAACAAAATTTCGGCGCTCATTTTTTGGTCTATATGTGTTCAAAAGAGCAGTATCATATATCGAACACACCAATGTCTTGTTAAAAAAGTCTCGAAAAGGAGTTTTAAAACGAATTAAACGATTGGCAAAGAGCACCTGGTGGATGTCGCTAACGCCTCGTTTGTAATGCTCGTCTAGGAACCTTGGCAGCTAGTGACGGAGGTTGTTTCGCCTCCGGCCACGATGAAAGAAGGGGGAAGGAGGAACTCCCTTCTTCCCGAGAACCCCCTTTGTGTGTCCCAGAAGTCGCTATTGTCCCCTATACAAGATTATATAAGATTAACCCGTCACTCAAAATTCGTACAAAAGCAGCCGCTTCGGTGGCTGGAACGACTAGGCCATCCTCTCGAAAGTCAGCCTCGCCGTAGCTTTGCTCGTCCCGAGACGACCTACGTAACGATTGCGTTGGATGTCACGTGGTCTCCGCTGGGCTTTCTCCGAGCGCTTGCCAGAGTGGGCCGTTTATAACAAAAAATACAGCCACCAGGCTCAAAAAACAAACGTGCGATTGTCTCTTACGGATATTGTTGATCATATTCAACCTGTTTTTGAACACGACGGGAATATTTCAAATTTCGTTGAAGTATCCCTTTAAGCACATGTTCTAAGCATGTTTGCTTCATACAGTCTGCAGACAGTTGTTGTTTGACCAATTTGAGAGGACATAGAAGGAAGAAACACGTCTCGGACAGTACACATTGTGTGCGATGTAGTCGCAGTGTGATGGCGGCTTTCGGGGTGACGGTGGTTGGTCAATGCGTCCCTTTGTGCGCAGGTCTGGTTTCAGAACCGCCGCGCCAAGTTCCGTCGCAACGAGCGGAGTGCGCAGCGAGGCCTGGCGCACGCCCCCGACCGGCTGCAGGCCGAGCAGCCCGTGCTGGCAGCCCTAGCGCCCCCGTCGACGGGACACCGGTCCGGACACCCCGCGGCGGTCGGACAGCCGCCCCACATGCCCTGGCCCACGGTGGCCCACGCGCAGCACCACCAGCTTCGATGGTGCCAATAAACCTCCTCTGTACTCTGCCGACCCTCTTTCCAAGTTTGAAAGTTTCTTTTATGTTATTGTTTCTTTCCAGCGTATAAATTGATGTGGTCTTTCTGACGAAAAAAGAGAAGTCACGAAGACTGCTTTACGAGGCTAGAGAGCCATTACTAGGCGACGGCAACGACAACGTAAAGAAAGCACAAATACGTAAGACAATGAACGTCATTCGCTCTACTGCGCTAAAAGTAAAATGATATCTTTGATGATTAAGTTGACTTCAGTGCGAAACACAGACAGCCAATCAGGTCATACAACAGAAAGATCCTAGCGAATGACGAGGCTCAGAAATGTTGCATTACAACTATGAGGTGCATTTCATCTGCGCCGTTCTCCTGTATCGGTTTTTTCCCTGGCCTTCCATCCGTTCTAAGAGGAAGGGAAGTGAAAAACAAGCTCCGAAAGAGCGCTCTTTATGGCCCTAAGACTTTCACACGTGACGTCACACGTCCCAGCGACTCGGCACGGAGCTTCGTCGGGGTCTCCCCGTCCCCAACCGTCAGCGCGGGTGTAACCCAATACACCCGAAACGGCTCAACTCCTGCACGTCGACACTGACGACGAGGCGAAACTTCGCCTCGTGGCAAACCAACTTCCCAGGGAACTCCCTCTCGCCTCCTTCCGCTACCCCGGGACGCCCTCCCGTCCGCCCTCTAGAACCGCCGTTTTGAAACACTACTCGCTCATTAGGAAGCGTTAGTCAAGCGTTTTTGCACTTCCACTAAAGCCACCCCAATTTGAGAGCAGAAGGGTCCGGTTACCAACCACTGAGAGGATGGGGCGGCGCGCGGGGATGTGTAATTTTTTCTTTCTTTTTTAGTGCGATGACATTCTTTCGCTCGCCCCCCCCCCCCCCCCCCCCCCCGGATTTTGTGGACCTCTGCCCTCTAATGCGAACCTCTCTGGCCCCCTAAGGCGCAGTTTCCCCGCTAAATTTAGCGGAAAAATTTACGTCATATGATCTCATATCACCTGACTTCTAGGGCTCTAGGCCCTAGAGGTTGTCCTAGAGGTCGTCCTTGAGGTCGTCCTAGACGTCGTTTTTAACGTTGTCCATGGCCTGGTAACAATTAAAAGGAGGCAAACATGACGAATGCTATCGCAGTTTATAAAAAAACCAACAATAGTGGTTTCTGCAGCCCTTATTTTGACGGTTCATTCGCGATGCAGCAAATAATATATATATATATATATATATATATATATATAGGAAATGTGACTCATGGCATTGTGGCACCTGCCTCCCCCCCCCCTGGCCCTACTCCCTTAGGTTTTTCACATTTTTCAACGGAGTCCCCGCGTAGCAACAACTTCTCCTGGCAAGCCGTCACCAACGAGTCAACCAAAGAGCAACGCGAGGCACGGATCTTCACGCCGGATGCCTTAAGCTGCCGGCGTGGCTTTTTAAACGCGGGACGGAGTAGCCCCTCAGCCCGTCAGCCCCGGCCCGAACCTTCACCGCGGCCGAGAGTGCCGAGAGTGCGCGGCGCGGAGTCGTCAACGTGGCTCCTCTTCCTTTCTCACCGCGAAGTCTGGCCGCTGCCAGCACTCACGGGGAAGCCGGCAAATTGCGCGTGACAATACGGATGAGCCCGGGGCTCAGCGCTGACAGGACTCGGGGCGCGGGTGGAGGGGGGAACGTCGGGAAGCAAGCAGAGGCTCGGCGACCTCTTCGGTGCCGCGCGTCGCATGACGCATGACGCGGCTTCTAGCAGCCGCAACTGCTGCTGTTGCTGCTGGGGGACGGCAGTCAGCCCGGCCGCCCCTTGCAAAAACAGAACGGCGCGTGTTTGTGCACTTTCCGAGGGGAGTCTGACGGATACGGCGAGAGAAAATGCGAAATGTCGCGGAATTTTCGCTTGCCAATTTTTGGTGTTTTTGTTTTGACTATGCTGGGGTCACAGGGTGCCAATTGAGACCCTGCGTATCCTGTTCCATCTGTTTTTTTTTCTTCCTCTTTCTTTTGCTTAGTTTTATGTTTTGAAAATGTCATACCTCCAGTTTTCCGCAGGTTAAGCCTTCGACAAACTTGTCGAATGTCGTCGTCTGTCAATACCTTGTCGTCGTCTGTCAATACCTCCGTCTCGGGTTTTTCACTAAAATGTTTGATATACACCAGCTCACCTGGCCCCTAACGTTCTGCTCAATCCCCATCACTACGTTTTTAAAGAAGCAGCTCTGAACA